GAATAGCTGCTAGTTCGGTTTATCTTGAGATTTAGATAACATCATGGTGTATGCACAAACTCCAATCAACATTAGTTTATTTATTCAACAAATATTTATTGACCTCCTATGGTGCTGGCCTTTGTGCAAAGTGATAGTGATGTGAAAGTGAACATGGAGTCTGCCCTCTGGAACTGTTAGACAAGGACACAGGCAGTTGTAGGGTCATGATACAAGTTCAGGGAACAGTGGGGGCAATTTCCTGTGTCAAATAGAATTAAGTCAGCTACATGTATCAAAGAAATGGCAATAGTTTAAGAAAAGAGTTTTTAGAAGAAAATTTAAAGAAATTTTCTCCAAAATGAATGGCTGAAAGTAGACAAAATGGAGTGCCACCATCTCAAGGAATTAGTTCTGTTGTGATATTGTGGTATACGTGGCCTGTGTGCCCAAAGACACCCTGTTGTCCAAGATGGCTGCTCCTGTCCCTTTGTTCACATGTCACTAGCAGGAAGGAAGGGCAAGGAGAGGAGCAGACTCTCTGCCTGTAAAAGACTTCCTAGATGTTTTGAAAGCCATTTTCACTTACATCCCATTGGCTAAAACTTAGTCACATGGCAATACCTAGAGGCAAAGAAAGCTGAGAAATATATTCCGTATTCTGTAGGAAGCTAGGTATGAAGAAGGAGGAATGGAAACTGTGGAATAACTAACAGTACAGGTTTCTGGGAAAATGGTTGCCAAAATTGAGATCTGAAGTGAATAGGGTTCTGAGAATTGTGCCCTGATGGGAAGTGAATATTCTAGAGGAAAGGAAAATCTTGAAGAATTGAACACTGGAAATTCTCTTTCATCAATCATGATTACTCATTATGTGACAGTGCTTGTACTTTTCTTGGGGGAAGAGGTGTGCCTCACGTTGTTTCAGGAGAGGAGAAACGGGGCTAATTTTTGTAGGATTGTGGTTGAATGGCCCAGGAGCCTCTCGGAAAAGATTAACGTGGGGAGGAGTGTGTACAGCAAAGTTGTATTAATCCCTTTCAGCAGTGTTGAGTCAGGAAAAGACGTGTCCTGGAGCTAGTTCAAAGAAGGCAGCCTTCTTTCAAAGGATATCCCAAGCTCCGGGTTCAATAGATGGAAGGGTCACATTCCACATTTCATTTGAATCATGGAGAAAAGTCATGTTCATTAAAGCGTCATGAATCTGTAGAAACATTGAACCCTTATTTGTTAAGTTCCTAGTATCAATCTGCTTTCAGGCTCTCTTAGTTTGTGTGTCCTGCCTTATGAAATTAATCTTTTGCCTACTTTAAACAAATCTAATAGCAAGGCTTGTTTGATTGTTATTGTAATAAATCTGCAGTTACCTCACAGGAAAATAGCAAACACATAGTACAATATTTTTAACTGGTGTATTGCTTTTATGTTTTTTCTATTTTCCTACTGTACTCTAAGTTTTGATTCTGCTTTTTATCCACAAAAATGAATGCACAATTCAAATAGTCCAACCAATTTAAAAATAAGCATGCCTGCATTGAAGATGTTTTATCTCCAAAGTGTCTCTTTCCTGGTTTTAAGATCAAATGCCAAATTTAAATTTAAAATTATCCAGAAAGAGGGTATGTTAGAAAAGAACTGGTCTAAATCTATAATTATATACCTTCTTACACATTTTTTTACTTTGCTTCTCAAATACTATTAAGTTATAACTTTTCTTTTCCCCCAGGAAAAAGAGTTCAATGATTGGTGGTTGGCAGTATAATTTCTATTAGGCAAGAGAAGAAGAGATTAAACTAGTTTATTTTGTGTTCATCTGTGACAGATTGGCAAGACCAAGATTTCTAGGTCTTATTTGTCTTGAGATCAATATGTCTTGAACTAGCAATTTAGGACATGTTATTAAATGCAAGCTCATATTTGAATAATTTTTCTTATGTTAGACTTTCAATTTTATAACACAGGGGAAATTATTAAACTCTGTGTTCACTAGCACATTGTTTGGTTTCTGTCTTCATACTAGGTAATAGAATTGCCAAAAAGCACATGGTATAATTCAGTTCTTAGGGTCACTTCTAGGCCTACGGTAACATGACTCACCTGATTCTATTTTTATGGTTGTCTCCATAAATAATAATCACAGCCTCTCACCCCTAAGCTCTCCAGTGGAGATCAAGCAAGCCTCCACTCCCATTCTGAGTGAATCCAGATTTCATTGTGAAATCTTATCAAAATCCAAACCTTTAGATCATTTCCAACATATATGTTTTCTCTGCTTACGATACATTTTGTTGTTGACTTGAATTCTACAAATTGCTGGTTTTGATTTAAAAATGAATTCTACAAATTGCTGGCTTGGATTTAAAATTGAATTCTACAAATTGCTGGTTTGGATTTAAAATAAATAAATTTAAATAAATAATCATACAGATATTCTAGACCAAACATGTGACATTTGACCATTTAAGTCACATCTTCCTATTGGCTAAGTCACAATCCAGTAGGTAGCTTCATAGATAGACACTGAGTACTTCAAACTTAGATGTGTGGGTGGGACATCAGGACATCTATGCTGTGATAAAAGATGATGCGTTTGCTGGTCAACTGTTAACCAACTGTGCTTATGTTCGTTCATAGACGTGATGGAGAGTAGCAAGAGCAGCGAAGGGGAAGATGATTAGGTTATTGAAAGGGAATATTAACAGAGGTTAATATCACTCCTCTGCTTAGACATCCTGTAAAATGTCTCCTGTGAACACGGAATACATTGATAACAAGAAGAAACATTCAATGAGCTTTTTAAAAAAGCAATCCTCCACTGGTTCTTCATGACAAGTGCCTGAATATGAAGTTGAGCATGACGGATAGACTTCAGGACTCCCCTGTTGCTACATCCACCTTCAACCGTAGGCTGCCATAATCTCAAGTGCTTTCTTTCCTCCTTTCTGTTTTGGTGCACCGTTTTCCCTCTGTGCCTCATGCGCATACTCTCCTCTTCCCGATTCAAGTAACTTTCCCACCTCTCAGCTTTTGCTGTTAATCTTAGTGATTTGGATTGTTGGTTCTTTTGGTAAACTTTCTGAGAGAGCTACCAACTAATGCTATTTGGCATTTGGTATTTTGTTTCTGCTGCAATGTCAGGTGAATGTGAGAAACTTTGTGCATCTGCTCTGCCACACTGATTCTGAGTGTCTTATTCACGGGAGCTACTTAGCAGATGTGTGCTTTGGTGTTTTGTAAGAGTGCTATTTTAAAAGCTGAGCTCCCATGGTACTCAGCTTTTTGTTTATGAGATTACAGCTGTATCTTCTTCTAATTAATATACTAAAGCTTAAATATGAACTCTAAATTTTATACACACATACATGTGTGAACTATATTCAAGTACAACAAAAACACAGAATATTAAGACTTCGTATTTGTGCTGAACCATTTAATCATTTTCTTTAAGGATAAGGAACTGATTGCCCCATGGGTAAATGACCATGCCCTGGAGATACCAGGACAAGAACTGTGGTCGCCTGATTCTTACTTCCAGTTGAATGTGGATTTTTAAGCAAGGAGAAGTGTGTGGAGACCTTTCAGTTTGAAAGGAAGAGACCTACAGTGTTCTCTTTGTAGCAGGACTCGGAGGCTTGGCCACTGTGCCCTGCAGTCCTGTTGCCCCAGTTCCCCTGTGCTTTTTTCTTTCTGTTTGTGTGCAATGGGACTCTGATGGAGTCAGTGACTTGGAAACCTTTGGGATAAAAAATAGTAGATGATAGTTATTTGTGTCAATACAGATGACTTTGCAAACATTCAGGAAAAATTGCCTAAAGCTCCTACAGGAGCAGAACAGGCCTTCAGTTGGAATAGGCCCTTTGAGCTCTCTGAACATGAATGGTATGGGAAGTAAAGGACATTTGTGTGTATATATATATATATGTGGGATGGGGAAGGAGAACTACCTTGCAAATGGGGTGAAGATTCCTCCCATAAGAAATTATATGTGTGGCCTTTGGGAAAAACCAATTGAACAGTAACAACTTCCATTTGCTTATTTTAAAGTTGAGATGATAATGGTCTTTCTAGTAGTTTTGCATGTCAGTGGTAATATATGTTCAATGACTATTGTTGTGTAGGTAATTGAATGTGATCATTACTACTATACTACTACAACTACTACTATAATTATTTTTACAACTGTTAGTACCCAAAACTGCTTGTCTACTGCTTCTGTCACATGTCAGTGGCTTGCAACTGGGTACTCTTCTCTGGTAGACAACAGGGGAGAGGGATTTACAACTGATTTGCAAAAGGCTGTGAACATTCTCATGCGGCGTAATGATTATGATCATGAGTTTGTAAGTATTAAGACTACTTTCTAGATAGGACATCTTAGACAAGCTATTAAGCTTCATGTGCCTCAGTTATTTAATCTATAAAATGGTAATAGTATATCCTACTATAAGTAAAAGTTTTTGTGAATATTAAATGAAATAATCTGAGCACTGCTTAGAACAATGCATGACAATGCGCAATTAGTAAATGTTCTGTGTTAAGCTATTAATGTATTGGATTTTCATAACTACTTTTTAAATAAAAACCATAATTATCTTTATGTTATGGATACTAAAACTAAGGCTTATGATTTGTCACACTAGAGAAAACCTTAAAGACCTTCCCTTCTTTACTTCCTTCCTTTTGTTTTTTCTTTTCTCCCTTCCACATATACAAATCTATAGGGCTAGTTTGGGATACAGTAATTCTGGCTTAATTGATTGGGATATTATCCGACTCTTTTTTCTTTCCCCGATAGCCTCAGGTCCTTTCCAGGGCACTTGCAAGAAAGTACTCACTCATTGAAATAAAATTATATTATACTTTTGTCTTTCTTTTGGGACTAGCTTACTTCTATTCACTATCAGGTCCACAATCCTGAATTCTTTATTTGAATATGCCCCATTGAGAAATCAGTAGAGTGAAGGAAATAAGAACCAATGTATACATAAGCGTTTACTGGACTTTGCTTTATCATCTTTCAGGTCTGGTAGAAATTTGCCTGATGCACCCCCTCGATGTGGTGAAAACCAGGTAAGGTTCTGCATGAACAAGTTTTATTGACTTTGGCTGATATCCAAATTAAGATCTGTCAGAATACTAAATGCTAGAACTTGTCTCAGGTCAGTAGCTTCTCCCTATAATGGCATTTCTATTTGCTGTTTAAAGACAGTATTATTTGACAGATAAAATGTGAACAGTGAAAAACATTTCTGGATAGAGGTCATCTAAAGGTATATAATATTTTATTGACTTCACATGACAACCATAAGGTATCATTTGTGGCTATACTAGTAAATGAGATAGATTTATCAAAATGATGTAAAAACTAAAAACTTTATATAGTGAGTTATGACAGCATATTTTCATTTGGCATTACACATAACAGATTGCTGTTTAATATCCAGCATTTTGTGTGAGATGCCAAAATTTCAAGTAAACTTCCCAAATGGTGCTGACATAATTTATTTCTATAACTGGTTGCCAATGCAAAATGCCATATTTCTTAAAAAATATATTTACTTTTAAAGGAAGATATAAAGCAGGACAATTTGTTAAATATATTTACCAAGGTTTAAAAAAAAAAGCAAACCAACCAAAACAAAATGAACAATAAACTAAAACATATGGTGATATTTAATGTGAACTAGAGCATTTTTTTTTAAATTAACCTTTGTCTGAATTTCTGAACTCCCTATTTTGTCAAATTAGAAATTCTTAGGGTGTAATGACAGTTTATGTTTATTCATATTTTATAAAAACCAGGGTTGGAGCCTAATAGCAAATCATACTATGCAGTAATGGAGGTTAAGCAAATCATTACCACCTCCGTTAGTAACCAATGAGACAGCCTGATCATTGGACAGACATGTTCCTTACCCCACCTAAAAAGGCTGAAGAATCAGACTGGTTGGTAAAAGCAAGAGAAAGTGACTAACATGCAAATACTATTACAATTCTATTAGAACTAGAGAAGATGGGAATTCAGCATCTGCCCTACTTTGAAGGTGCTACAAGAAAATATCACCGGCTGGGTGGCTTCTACGGTAGACATTTGTTTCTCACACTTTTGGAAAACTAGAAAGTGCAAGATTAATTTTGAGACCAACACAGTTCTCGGTGAGGGCCTTCTTGGATATCAGACAGCCTCCTTTTGAATGTATCCTTGGTTGGCCGAGACAGAAACCCTGTAATCTCCTCTTTTTTTATGAAGCCACTCATTTCATCATGGGGCTCCAATCTCATGACTTCATCTAAACTGCCACCTCTGAAAGGTCCACCTCCAAATACCATTGCGTTGGGGATTTGGGCTTCAACGTGTGAAGTGGAGAGGGACACGAATATTCGGTCTGTAGTAGCCTCCAATCACTAAGCCAAAACAGAAAGAAGAAAATGGCAAATTATATTTGAATTCAAGGTGTATGCACCCCTGGGCCATCTTGTTTACAGGTTAGAGAAACAGGATGCAAGCTCACTGGCCTTTCCTTTTAGATTCTATGCTAGGCCTTCTCAAAAGCCAAAATATTATTGATGGTTTCACTGAGGAATAAATTATCTTCTTTCACTTAAGAGTGATTTCCTAAAATAGTAAAGTGTTCAAAGGAGCATAGAGGAGAAACAAAAATGATTTAAACAAGATACGATATTAAAATTATTGTTGTGCCCTCATTCACCAAACATGTATTGAGTATCTAGTGTGTGGGTTGCAAAATAGCTCTGCCATTCAAAGGGCTTACAATCTGAGAGACTATTAGAAGTCTCATTATTATGAAATTCAAAACTGTTTCTTTCATTTCACTGGGCTGGAGCTGAATATATATTTTGAAGTAGAAGTGCTATGTAACTGGATCTATCTATCTATCTATCTATCTGGGGGGCGGAGTACCAGGAACTGAACTCAAGACCTCATGCTTGCCAGGCATGAACCACTGAGCTAAAACCTTGGCCCTATATTCTTTATTTCATTTCATGAAAATAGCATTTGTTAGATTGGAATTACTGATGTGCCCTTGGATAACTTCCAGGGGGAAGGATAATACAGTCCTTCCAGCTGTCCTGAAGGAAAGGGAAGCTGGATATTGATGGTATTTGACCTGCATAACAGTAAAAAGTATACTGAGTAAAGACGCCAATCATGGAGTAAACTGAAAAAGCCAAAATATGTGTAACCAACTTTGCAACAGAAGAAAAATATGCAAGATTGATAGAATTTACCACTCACACATTAACATAGCAGTGACAGGTAGTGGACAGGAAGAGACTGAAGTACTGGAATCTCTTCACTGGTACATTTTACATTAGATGGCTACTTTTCTTGGTACTAGGGATTGAATTTAGAGTCTTTACACTAAGCTACACCCCCTACTTTTTAAAGTTTGAAACAAGATTTCAGTAGGTCACTAAGTTGCCAAGGCTGGGCTCAAACTTCTAATCATCCTGCCTCAGCCTCAGAGAGTGCTGGGATTATGGGCATTCAACCACCAATAGGTCCATGTTAGATGACTACATTTTAAAATTGGAATAAACTCATACCCAGGAACACAATTCATCATTTACTATATGAAATAAAATGCTTGAATAAAGAATTTGGCAATAAATTTTTAGAATCTGTGGTTTTTTCATTCATCAAAGAAAGGATTAGGCACAAATAGAATCAAAAAAGAAAAGAAGACTAGACTCCAAGAACTCATTTCCTGTCATATTCCTACTCATAAAATACCATAGAAATGAGCTATATCCATATTCAGATTAATTCAGTGTACCATACTTCAAATGGTACTATCAAAAGAGAGGGGCAAATAGCCCTCAAAAAGCTGACTTTTGGCTTGTGTATCCCATGCCCCCACTTAGACAATTCCTGCAACAGCTTAGAATCCAGTGCCCTTAGAATCCCATGTAAAGAAGTGACCTGCTGATATCACTAACACTAAGTACTTTTATATTTTACTCATTTGTGTTTTGATCAAAATAATAAATGTATATTGTATGAAATCAAAGAATACTCAATACATCAATCAAGATAGGCTAGGTTTTGCTGTTATAATATCAGCAACAAACCCCAGATCTCAATAGGATACAGACTTCCCTTTTTACCTCATCTCTGTCTCATGTCCAGTATGAATAGGTATCTTCATTCAGCTTGCCATACTAAAATACCATAAACTAGATAGCTTATAAATAACAGAAATTTATTTCTGGCTGAGGCTCAAAGTTGAAGATCAAGACAGATGCAGAACTGCTGCTGGTGAGGGGCCATTTCCTGATTCATGGATGGCACCTTCTCGCTGTGTACTTGTATGTGGATGGGCAAGGCAGCACTCCAGGATCTCTATAAAAGGGCATTAATCCTATTCAGGAGGACTCTATTCTCATGACCTAATCACCTTCCAAAGGCTCTGCCTACTAACACCATCACACTTGAAATGGAGGTTTCAACATACAGAGTTATGGGGACACATTCAGACCATACCAGTGAGAGACTTTGCTCATCATCAGAAGTCCTCATTGCTGACAGGAGCTCTACTTCAATACATGCTTTCACCAGCCCTGTGGCAGGAAGAATAACTGGCAATTATAGCTCTGACAAAAAGTGTCATCTCCCCAACTTATTGTTAGGAACTAGTCACTTGACCACATTTGGTCAACCAGAAGGAGTGGAAGTATGTGCCTTCATGCTGGCCTAAAGGAGGGGACCTGGGTATCAATACGCCACAGACACGTGTCTTCAGGTTTAGAAGCATAAACGCCATTCCCTTAAACCCACTAGTTCCCATTCTGGAGATCAAGGCTTGACTTTTAGTGCTGCTTTTAGAATTTGCTTCGGTATTTTAAAATCTATTGTTTATACTAGTATTGAGTTGCATACGTGTTCTTACTGGAACCTCAGAAAGTGACCTCATTAGGAAGTGGGGCCTCTGCAGACTCAATTAGGGAAGATGGAGTTATACTAAAATAGGGTGGCTTTTGAATCCAGTAGGGCTCCCTACAAGTGGAGGAGGCTCAGAGAGACAGACATGAAGGGAAGACAGCTACAGAACCCTGAAGGCAGACGTTGGAGTTACACAGCTGTCAGCCAGTGTGCACTGAGAATTGCCGACAACCACCAGAAGCCAGGAGAGAGGACTGGAATGGATTAGGCAGCCAGTGTAGCACACTTTCTTAATTTGTCAATTTAAATGTTATCTGTGACATTTATAATTGTACCCTGCTCCCACTTCCCCTGCCTTCCTCTGTTCCATCATTCATCAGTAATCAACTGTTTCATTCTTTTGACTATGCAAACGCTGTTCACTGTGGGAAAAATGATTTATTTTCCTGGAGTTCACTGTTGCCTTGTATTTGCATTTGTTAGTTCTGTATCAGACTATTGCTAATTGCTTTTTTTCCCTGAATGTTTCTATAGGCTTCATTTTGCTACTGTTTTCCGTATTGTCAAACTAATAACAAATGACATGGTAGGGCTTGTGGAAGGTGCACTTTTTCAGTGATCTGACTTATTTTGCTAGACACCGCTTGTTCCTCTTCTAGCTTCTGTAATTGGGGATACTGTTTCCCCAGTTATGAATCTTTCACTCCAAAACGTGTGTGGTAGAGAATGGAGAAATGCACATCATTACCGTATTTCCAGTTTGCTGTCATTCTGCTTCCTGCTGCTGTCCCCAGTGCCCCTCAGTCTGTAGCTGTTTTGGTTCAGTCTCCACGGAATAATTCTCAAATGTTTAGAAGGAAGGCAGGCAAAGAGGAGAATGTACATGGCATGTGAAGCAATCCTCCTCTTTTTATTCTTGTGTTCCCCCCTTTCATAGTATCTGTGGATGTCTCCAAGACTCAGGCTTCCTGAGGGTCTTTACTAATGTCCCCTCTTCAACTATTTAGGGTACAGCCTCCTGTGCCCTGCTAAGGCCATCCTCCGCTCATTTTAATCTTTCAAAGATGTATTGACAGCACACATTCATAGTTACTTCCTGCCTCATCCTCTTTCTTCTTATGAGTTTCTACTTATTTGTAATTATTGTTCTTTTAGATTATTAGGG